GCATGCACACTCTCTCTCTCACACACAAAATAAATAAACTTTAAAAAATTAAAAATAACAAAAAATTAGTTGCTCCAATGTCCTCTGGCTAGTATTGTTTGACAAGAAATTTTCTGTCATTTTATCTTTCCTATCATTTTTATCTTTTTTTCTGTTTATAACTTTTCCCTCTCCTCATGGCTGCTTTTCAGATTTTTTTTTTCTTTATCGCTGTTTTTAAGCAATTTGATCATGATGTGCTTTGGTATGTTTTTCTTCAAGTGTCTTTTGCTCAGAGTTCATTGAGCCCCTGGGGTCTGTGGGTTGATCATCATCTTCAAGTTTGGAAAATATTCAACCTTTATTTATTCAAATATTTTGCTGTCCTCCACCCTCTACACACATTCCTTGAAAGAAACTTCGACTACTAGAAGTTGTCCCACAGCTCAGTGATGCTCTGTTCATTTTGTTTCAGCCTTTAAAAAAACCTGTGTTTAATTTTAGTTTCTACTACTGTATCTTCAAGTTCACTAATTTTTTCTTCTCTAATATATAATTTGCTGTCAGTGCTGTCAGGAATATTTTTCAGACATTGTAATTTTCATTTCTAGAAATTTTATTTTGTTCTTTTTCATATTTTCCATGTTGCAACATAATGTGTTCAGTCTTTAGCTCCTTGAACATATAGAATATGGATTAACAACTTTTTTAGGAGTGCCTGGGGGGCTCCTTTGGTTAAGCATCTGACTCTTGGTCTTGGCTCAGTTTATGATCCCAGGGACGTGGGATCAAGCCCCTGCTTCAGGCTCTGTGCTGATAGTGAGGAGCCTGCTTGGGATTCTCTCCCTCTCCTTCCCTCTCTCTCTCTCAAAATAAATAAACATTTTAAAAAAATAACTGTTTTTTTAAAAAAGATTAGTAACTGTTTTAATGTCTTCGTCAACAAATTCTGTCATCTTTATAATTATTAGGTTGGTTACATTGATTTGTTTTTCTTCTTACTAGAGGTTGTAGTTTCCTGCTTCTTTGCACGCCTGGTAATTTTTTATTTGTATTTCTATAAATATTCTTGAACTTTGTTTTAGCATGAGGTTGAGTTACTTGGAAATAGTTTGATCCCTTTGGGATTTGCTTTTAAGCTTTGCTAGGTGAGCTCAGAGCTATGTTTAGTCTAGGGCTAATATTTCCCTACCACCGAGGCATTCTCAGTATTCTAGCCAATGGGCCCATAATTATAAAGTTTTCCACTCTGGCTGGTGGGAATTGGAACTCTTACTGGCTCTGTCTGAGCAATAGTTTTTATATCTTTCTATGTAGATCTTTGCTCAGCCCTGGGTAGTTTCCTCAGACACACGCACCGAACGGCACTCAGCGGAAGACTCTAGGAAGACCCTCTTCAGTTCATTGTGCTTCTCCCTGTGTGTGTAGCTCTCTCCTCTCCTTCACCCTACCCTCGCTGCCTTGGCTTCTGTAGATTGCCAGCTCTGTCTCTCCAACTAAGGGAAACCATTGGCTTCTGCCTGGGTTACCCTCCCCTGCATCATGTCTGGAAACTTCCTCGAGGCATTTAGCCAGGGCAAACTTAAGGATCACTATTCTCTGTTGCCTGATATCCAGTCTCTTGAAAGCCATTGTATCACATATTTTGTCTAGTTTTTTAGTTGCTTCAGGTGGGAAAGTAAATCTATTATTCCATATTGGTCAAATGTGGAAGTCCACCATGACTTTTTTTTTAAATGTTTATTTATTTATTTATTTTTGAGACCAAGAGAGAAAGAGCAGCAGGGGAGGGACAGAGCGGGGGGGGGAGGGGGGAGGCAAGAAAATCGTAAGCAGGCTCCATGATATCAGTGCAGAGCCCAACATGGGGCTCAGTCTCACAAACTGTGAGATCATGACCTGAGCCAAAATCAAGAGTCAGATGCTCAACACAGGTGCCCTGGTCCAACACAAGTTTTAACTGGGCAAAATCCAAAGTAAACATTTAATAACCCAGAGCGCTTGAGGGATTTGATATTAATAATTAATTCCCTACTGTATACCAGTTGCTTTACATATATTTTCATTTAATCTAGTGTTTATGAGTATTAACAAGCTCTCCAATTAATGGAATTAGTAACATGAAGCCCATACTCTGCATTGTTCTAGGAATAGTAGACTTCATTTGTTTATTTTTTCTGTCATCAACAAGCATTTCTTTGGCACCTACTAGGTGTGACATAAATATAAATAAGTCTGATTTCTCCCCTTGGAGATCTTTTAAGTTTGGGTCTACTTAGGTGTAGACATGTAAGTAAGTATATTTTTCAATATCATATGGTAAGTGCAATAATAAAATAGGGTGCTTTAGAGCCATAGAGCGGGGTCACCCAGCTGAGGGGAATATGTGAAGGTGGTGATAGGTAAAGGGCATCCTAAAAGATGAGTGGCAGGTCATCAAGGAAGTAAGAGGATAAATACATTCCAAGGCAGGGAATCATAGAACAGCTTGACACATTGGAGCTGAAAGTAGTATGCAGGAGGCCAGACTGGCCACAAAGGAGGTTGAGAGGTAGGCAGAGTTAGAGCGAGGAGGGCCTTGGATGCCACGCTAAGGAGCTGAGATGATTCTGAAAGCAATGAGGACCCACCTGGGGCTTTTAACAGGTGAGTCAATAGGCTGCTGGGGGTGCATTTCAGGGATGACACTTCTAGTTCACAGCAGAAAAATGAATCAAGATCTCATGGAAAGCGTCCACAGAGGAGGAGTTGATGTGACATTGAGAGGGGGTAGGAATATCAATATGACACTGAGATGGAGAGGAAGAGACTGGGTTAAGAAATGTTTCAGAGGTGCTTTCTGTCAAATTTGGTGACCAAAGTGGGGAGGGTGGGAAATTGACTCCTGGTTTGGCTGGGAGGTAGCATCTTGAACTGAGATAGGACATTTTAAAAAGAGAAGGGCTAGGGCTAGGGGTCAAAGTAAGTTCAGCTCTGGATGGTCCAATGGAAATATTTTGCAGACTCTGCAATCTGTTGTTGCTGATCACTGAATATACTGAAATAAATCATTTTGATAAGTAAGATTACTTAAAATAAGATTGCATCTTACCCACTTGCGTAACTCCAAGTCAAATGGCAGAACCATGTCTTATTTGTTGCTGTATTCTCAGAGCTGGCTACCCTGCCTGGGGATCTGGGAGAGGTTGGCCCCGAAGCACGGGTGATTGGGAAGCCATGGATGGATGAGATCGCACAGGGAGACCAAGAAGAACAGTGACACAGAAGAAAGAGATGTTCACGCCTTGGGGTGAGAATTTGAGAAATGTGAGATCTGGTGGCCTTGCGTCATTGATGGGCCCTGTGAAATACCATCTAGACACAGCCCTGCTGCTTTGTCAGTGGTTTTGGTTTTTGGTTTTGCCCTCGTGTCTTTTTCATATGAACACAAAGGCTTTTACTGATTATGCAGAAATCATTTTGATCCATCACTTGACAGGCTTTGCTTCGAAGGAAAGTTCTAAGAAATGGGTGGGTGTGAGTGTAGGGGTTGGAAGGTGGTTAACACAGAGGCAGAAAGCTATTGGCAGGATGTGGGGGCGTGGCTGTAGTTGCACCCTTTGGGGCTATGGGAAGTAAGTCAGATTTTGAAATCACAATGGCAGTAGGGAACCGATTATATAGGTCAGTGTTCTCTTGTAGAAATATCTCTACTCTGCCTAAATTAAGAGCTATAACTGAATTGTTTTTAGAAATATGCAATCTACTTAACAGAATTCCAAATTTTCTGGTATTCATATGTGTTAAGAGACCGCCTATTTGATAATATGATTTAGGACAACAGTATTTTAAAGACTACAATATCATTTCAAATAAAGAGCAATAATGGATGAACTTTCAATTTTAGGGCCACAAGCAATCCACCTCCCACCACTTCCTCTTGCTCACCCATTTGCCCATTACCACCAATACATCAACCAGCTGTATTTATGTAATATTCACTTCTATGTCACTTGAGAGGTCACTCAAGTTGCAGGCCTTTAAAAGATCCTTTAAATCCTCAAGCTTGATTTCATCAACTGTCCCTACTGGTCTTTCTTCTTCTCCAACTAAGGTGATGCATCCTTGACAATAATTTGGTCTTAACCTTCCAGAACAGGCTTCCTGAGTCAAGTTCTAGAGTCTGAATTGAATGCATAGCAAGTGCTTCTCTGGCTTTTTCCAGTCCTGTTAGTCAACAGGATAATTTAATACCTGCACCGTCTGTTCCTTATTCTGATAAGCACAATCTGATAGATGCATTGGCAGGAGTGATGAAATACTGGGTTTCACATTGAGTGAAGGAGAAAAAGAAGCTGGGGGTGGGCAGGGAGAGGGAGAGAGAGGGTGAACTTGGAGTCATGTGAAATACAGTGGGATTGAGCTCTCTGAATCTAAAATCGATCAAAGCACGCACAAAGAAGTTCCCTGGTAAATGGTTAGTATAGATTTCCATACCTTTTCAAATTAAGGTCTAAGATCAGCATTTAAATTTCGAAGAACTCACACACATTAAAGCATATGGGAAAAAGTGGATTCTTGCACACCTGGAGTCCGCTGTCCTTACAGGTGGTAGATGTTACTGTAATTATTTCCTGTATTGTAACTTTTCTATTCATTCAAGCCTCTGGTAGCTTTTTAAGATGAGGTGGGAGAATTCTGTAGCTGGTGGACTATTTCCACAGGACCGCGCTGTCCTCTAACTGATTAGGAAAGGATGAGGGCCCTTGGGTTAAATTTCAGTTAAGTATTTTCTCGCCTCACTAACTCCATTTGAAGTATTCAATCTGCCTTTCAAAAGAGTAGAAGGCAACTATTGTTTAGTAAACATCAATGAAGGAATAAAAAAGGCACATAACAAAAGCATCCTGGGGAGAGAGGGGTTCTCATCCACTATTCTTACCTACATAGAGGGAGCACAGTGATATTACCAAGTATTTACCAAAGTTGCCTGATCAAAGCATTACCTATGGTGAACATTGATTCCCAAGCTCTTTACTTACAGACTGAGATTCAGGACATCCGTGGGGACATAGGGTGAAGGGGGTGGGTGGTAGTAGACTAGAACCTGTAACTCTAACAAGTGCTCTTTGTGTGACTTAAGAATGGGCACGTTTGCGGAACCCCGATTTAACCAATGAAGAGCTGGCTGGTGGCTCTTCTTAGAGAACGCCACGCCTTCTCGGGGTTTAGTAATTCCTAATCTAACCAGTGACATTTCTGTCTGGTGCCTTTCTAACGAAGCATATTGAACTTGCCAAGGACAGAGCAAAATATTTTTTTTGCATGAATTAGAAAACCAGGAAGAGTTGAGTACAAGGTATTAATCAAACATGGTGTGTGTGTGTGTGTGTGTGTGTGTGTGTGTGTGTGCGTGTGCGTGTGTGTGTACATTGTTCCAAGTTTCTAGTGGACTTTGGTAACCATTTTTTGACTTACCAGTATTCTCATCTGCAAAATTGGGATAATAATGCCAACTTCATAGGGTTTCTCTGAGGACTAAAGGGAAGAGCATCTGTAAAGCACTTAGCACAGTGCCTGGCACATAGTAGGCCTTTAATGAAAGCTTCTTATCACTATTGTCAGTTATATGCTAGGATTTAAATCTTTATGATCAAAAGATATTATGACAAATGCTTGCCTTGAATTTTCATACTTTTTATAAGTTACATCCTCAGACAACTTAGTTTTGGTGCCATCACATGTGATTTTACCCAAATGGAATTTTTCTAGAATGTCTAAAACGGTTTTATTATTTCATAATTCTCAGAGCTACAAACCCTGCAGATGTCTTGTTTGATCTGTACATTTGAAAAAAATGAATTAGTTCTAACATTCGCACATCTAGAAGTTACACAAAAATCTAGATTTCCAGGATTTTTGAGAAAAACGAGACGTTTAAGCACATGGGCCCCTTGTTCTCCTGGTGGACAACCTGTGGGCATTGAGTAGGGCTGTCCCTTTGAATGGGGTACATGTGCTTCTGCCTGTCCCCTAATTTATGCGACTCACCTGGCCCTTGTAGCATCTGTGTTGGTCGCCCCTGCACCCAGGATGATGTCTTAACTTCTCATACATCTGCGGCTCGTCAGCTCTCAGCTTGGTTAGTAGGTCATGGATGGACACATGGGAAAAACAGCTGAACTGCCCGGCACACTGACAGACTGTTGCGGGCTGTCAAGCACGCAGACCCCTGGCCTGACACGCTCGGGCCCCAGTTCCTCTGATGCCCCCAAAGCTCCTGAACACTGTCTACCCCCAGCCTGGCCCCCAAGATCAACTCCCATTCCTTTCCAATTCCACCTTCCTTTGCCAGCCGTGTTTCACTCTTCTCCAGCGAAGCCGGCTACGTCCCACATCGCTGTCTGAGCCTGCCTATGCTTCCCCTCCTCAGAGCCTCGGCCCTCCCTCTACACCTTCTGCAAAAGCTTACCCATCTTTCAAGGGCCACCGTGATAGTCCTTGGTTTGTAAATAAGAAATGACAATATCCTGTACGACCTAAGCATGTGCCCTAATTCTGCCCCTTGGTGTACAGGTCTCTGCCACCTTCCCCCAGCAGAAATCATGTCACGGTCATCATAGTATCACCAATGAATGTAAGCTATGCTCTCAATATTTAAATACAGGAACACATTTCCATTTTAAGGAGAAAATGCTTCTGATTAATAGTCTACTTCTTCATCCTACTACAGCATGAAAACTTACTTTTTGTCAAATAGTTTGTTTCACCCCTCCTTATAAAGCTCAACTGAACATTAGCCTTTATCGTATCATTTACCTAATTCTTTAACTGAGAAATGGGGCTAATACAACCTCTAGCATGGTCAGAAGGTTCAATGAGTTAAGTGCTGATAAAGTGCTTAGCGCAGTGCCCACAGCAAACATTAAGGGCATGGCTATTATTTTTACTATGTAGAGACTCACCGAGTATTTAGAAGCCAGTTTAGAGGTGTCTTCCTTCATTCTATTTTTCTAAAAGACTTCTTAGAAAAAAGCAGGTCGAAGATTATAGTTAGTGTGCCTGGCTAAAGAAATGCATTTTGCTGGGGGCGCCCGGGTGGCTCAGTCGGTTAAGCTTCCGACTTTTGCTTAGGTCATGATCTCGCGGTTCGTGGGTTCGGGCCCCGCGTTGGGCTCTGTGCTGACTGCCAGCTCAGAGCCTGGAGGCTGTTTCAGAGTCTGTGTCTCCCTCTCTCTCTCACCCTCCCCTGCTCACTCTGTCTCTCTCTCTCTCCTAGAAATAAATAAAACACTAAAAAATTTAAAAAAAAAAGAAATGCATTTTGCTCAAAAAAGAAGAAAAGTAAAAGGTAATTTAAAATACCAGGGGTTCAGGGGCACCTGGGTGGCTCAGTCGGTTAAGTGTCTGACTTTGGCTCAGGTCATGATCTCACAGTTCGTGGGTTTGAGTCCCGTGTCGGGCTCTGTGCTAACAGCTAGCTCAGAGCCTGGAGTCTGTTTCGGATTCCGTGTCTCCCTCTCTCTCTGACCCTCCCCTGTTCATGCTGTCTCTCTCTGTCTCTCTCTCTCTCTCAGAAATAAATTAAAAAAAAAATACCAGGGGTTCAGGCAATAGTGGCTTTTTTAAAAGTACACTTTTATAACCGCCAAGGTAATGCTTGATTCAGGGAAAAAATCACCAATCAGTGTTCAAACTAGTGGGCAAAATTATGTTGAACAGGATATTGATAGTCTCACAATTTCAATCCACAGAGTACTCATTAATCCCAAAAGGAGAAAGCTAGTTTTCCATTGGAGAAATTTGGTGGATGTCACTTCAACTAAATAGTCAAAATTACCATCACAAAAGCAAAACCATAACTCACATGCAATACAATTTATAAAAGCCAAAAATAAAAACAAAAACAAAAAAGTAGAAATAAAAAAATTACTACCACCATTACAGCCCAAGTAGGCCCTTGTGAAGTGATGAAATAGGAGATAACATTACCTATATAGTATGCTTGCAAAAAAAAAAAAAAATTAATCTGACTCTACCAGTGAGAGACCAACCAGAGAAATGCAGAGACATCAGTAAATATGGCACATAGGCCCTGATCAGATGCCCTTTAGGAAAAATGAGCACAGCCACAAAGATCCTTATTGGGATAACGTCTGGCTACGCACTGCCGATTGGATGATAAAAGTAGGGCAAAATGCAACTGTGACTCAATTGTATTTTGAATGACCAGCTCTTTCCTGAAGATTCCAGGAATCTATGTTGTAAAGCCTCACAGTGTGAAAACTCCATGTGACAGGTCTGCTGCATTGGATTGGCTTAGAGGATTCGAGTTTTTGTAGAAAGAATGTGTTTCTGGGGGGCAGTTGTATAAATGGGCATAAGAGCTCCGCAAAGAAGGATGTAGATGCTAATAACGCGCATCATGCTGTGCAGTGTTTGTGGACCGGTGTTTGTGGATCGGAACTGCACAGTGAGTGGTGGGGAAATGGTACCGGCTGACAACCAGCAGGAGAAAGTCCCCAAAGCAAGGCACTGCCTTTATTTTGAGCTTGGAGGAAATGTTGCCCAATAGAATGGATTGCTGGGAAAATCAGATCGAGATCTCATCGTCCTTCCCGTTAGGCGGGGATGAGCAGGCAGCTGGCGGGAGCGGCCCTGGCTGGCTCCTGTGCGACAGTCCCGTATTAGCCTCAAATACGGGGAAATCACACAGCCATGGGGAAGACTGGCTGGCAGTCGTTAGGGACAAGCAGTGTTTGGGCCTCTGTGTTTCAGGGGGCGATAGGAGTCGTTAACAGCTTACTTTTAGTTTCAGAAGCCAGAGATATTTTCATTACTGGTGTCCTCAGGCATAGACTTTTTAATTTAAAAAAAAAGACAGTTCAGGATGGAAATAGCCCATCACTACAGGAACGTCTCTGCGGCAGAAACACATTAGAGTTTACCCGTCAATCTCACCATCGCGCCAGCTTTATTGTGAGTGTCTGGAATGAGGAAGAGGCAGCAGGGAAGACAGGTGAGGCAGGCTACACAGAGGGGCCTCTGGAATCACTAATACCTCAGAAAAGCTGAAGGCTTAATTCCAAAGTGGTTTTGAGACATTGGGTTTCTTACCTCTTGGGGCTAATAAGAAAGCGACCATTCTGGCTTGGAATTTCCCTACTTCCTCCAAAGCCATAATGTCCCACTTTTCGGATTTTTTTGGACAGGTGTTAAATTGATTCAGATTGGCTACAAATTCTTTTGTCACTCTCCCCAGCAGGGGGTGGGTTTTATCCCCCCCCCCCCCCCCCCCCCCCCCCCCCCCCTGGCTCTGAATCTGTTGAGCCAACAGACTGAGCCAGAAGTGCACCGAGCACTTCCAGGCCAGGCCTTTCAGAGCACTGAGGCTTCCGCTCCCTCCCGCTTAGAACCCAGCTCCCATGCTGGGACCAGGCCAAGTGCACCACATGGAGGTCCTAAGCCAGGATGGACTGACAACCCATGGGAAAGCCACGTAGGACATCTCAGCCCAATCGTGCTCCGTGACATCCCTGTCACCCCCTGCAGCAGAAGCAGGCCAGCTAAGGGCAGGCCGCTCAAGAGAACCACACAATCAGGAGACAGAATAAGATGTTGTCTTAAGCTGATAACTTTCCACGTGGATTGCCCTGCAGCAATAGATACCTAAAATTTATAAACGAAAAGTTTCACGAAAGGGAAGATTATCTTGCTAACAAAGCCCAAGTCAGAACACTTGCTGGGTGGGAACAGAACTGTTTTGAACACACGATAACATCCTTTATCTTTTAGTGGGCTTGACCTCAAAACCAGCCTCAGCTGATGTCCTCTGATGTCCAACACAGAAAATTCAGAGAAAGAAAAATCTCATTCGAATACGGCTTCATCCCGACATGTGTGTTTCACACAGACCTTATTTTTTAAACAGAGTTTATTGTATTTAATACATTATAAAATTTGAAAAATTGTAGGAAAGCAGCAGACTCAAACGGGAGCAAGTCTAACAAGTAATAATTCTGGCCCCTTTGCAAAACTGATCAGTTTAAAAACAAAGTCATGTTCACATCTGTGAGACGGGCAAAGAAGTGTGACTTCTGT